GCCCCGCTGGCAGGCGGCTCTTGCGCGCTGTCCAGGCCTCGTGTGAGGGGAGGGCGCCTGGGCCCCGGAAAAGTCGGGAGCTGCTGCTTGAGAGCAAACCGCTGCTTTCTCCAGGCCTCGGGAAGGCTTTCTCCGCTCCCCTTGCCTTTACGAAAGTCCGATTTCGCAGTCCTGACTGGGCCGGGGGCACGCGGCGCTTCTCTTGCCCCCATGAAGGACGGCGGCGTCGCGCGCGTCGCCCCAGCCCTCCAGGCCGGTCTGCTGCTCGGTGCCAGCCGCGTCGTGGCCAAGTGCAGGCGTGGTCGAAAGGAAAGCAGCCTGTGGGAAACTCTGCCACCTTGTTCCTTCAGGGCCAGGAGGGTGGGGGACTGAACGGTGCCCTGGGAAACCAAGGACGGCGTTGGTAGGTCTTAAGCGATGACTAGGCTCGGCTTCAGCTAAGCTGCAAGCGATCGTCTGAACTGGTACGAGCACGTGTGGCTTTGGGATGCCCGGGTGAAAGTTTCGGAGGACGCGCTTGCCACTTCCTAAAACCAGCGTGGAAATGCAGAGGTTCTGCTGCGATGCATGAACGGCGTCAGGAAATTGGCAAAGCTTTCCATTTTTTTCATTAATATCAAGCCTCCCGAAGTCCTTTTTTCAAAGGAGATGCTTTGTACTAATGGCTAATTCGTGCAGCAAAGGCTTCGAAATCATAGGTTTAAAAATAAGTTTGTCATCTTTAGAAACATATTTAGGGATCTCCGAGGGGGGGAAAAAAATAGAAGGCAGCTACATTTACATTTCAGTGATGACTCTCTCTATAACGGGTACATCTTTTGATTTGCAGTAACAGCTGTACAGTGAACAGAGCTCCGTCGTCTCATCACTAGTGGCGTGCTCAGGTCCTGCATTAGGAACGGATTCATGTAGAGATCTTTATACGTGGCCTGGTGTGACATTTAGTGACTTCATAAAACAAGAAGGAAGCCTGACATCCTAAGTGCTTCCAAAAAAGGTGAAGTCTTGTATGAGGCTTTAAAAGACCTCTTTTGAGAACTGCACAGCAAAGGCGTCTGGACAGACAGAAAAAGGGAATTCAATTTAGGGTTTAGAAAGGAAAAAAAAAATGACATGCAAATTACCGCAGGGATATTAAATCAAATTTGCCCCCAGTTCTGTTTAGCAAACGTTCTCTATTTTAAAGTCAGCTGGCAGCATTTTGAAAATACAGTCCTTTCATTGCAGTACCTGGAACCTGCACATTGCAGTGTTGTACTGGTTTTGATCACTTTTTAGTGAAATGGATTATATAATCCTGAACTGGGCTAGTTCGGTTTTATTGTCCAAGCTGAGAAAATGCTAAGTGTGTCTTGTGAAATGTAAGTAATCACAAACAGCTCTGGAAAGATGACATAACCACTCTAATCTGACTCGTCCGTCCAATTTTATTTGTATCGTACACAGGGAAAATCTTTTAAAACTTAAGAGTGATTGTGGGTGGGGAGCTCTGGGCCTTTTTTTTTTTTTTTTAAAGTTATTCAGCATTGGAGGTGTCTGAATAATAGTTTACTTGCCTGTACCTGAAACATCCTTGATGATTTAAAAGCAGAGAGATGAAGAATTAAGGATTTCTTGCATTTATTTTGGTACTAGTATGAGATGTATTATTTTTGTAAAGGAATGCATATTTTATTATAGTATAGGAAATTGTAACTCTGTCCTAAGCATTGTTAGTGTTCTTTTATAACTTTTATTGTGGTTATAGTGTCCAAGTACTTTCTACTGTTATATGGAAAATATCAGTTGTTAACTGACTGGAGTTATTTTAATACAATAATTACTGCTGTTTATTGAAAAAAGTTGTTTATATAGTTACTTAGTAAGAAAATGGTATAGTCTTATTACTTGAAAATGATACGTGTGTTGGTACTTCAGGCTGGTCAGTGAATAATCAGGTTTCACTCGAGATCTATGCTGTTTGTTGTGAGATCAGAATGAGACTTCTAGAAACCAGAATAGCATCCGTTTGGTGAAGGAAATGTCTTTTGTACATAAGAGGTGGATAGGTTGTCTTGTCTTCTGTATGGGATGTGCAAAGCTAGTGCCTTTACCTACTTGTTTTTAAGTGGTTAGGCACTCTAGTTTACAGGTTACAGTGATCTGTCTCTGGTTTTTAGGGTTTTATACTTCCATTTATTACTGGTGTCTAAGTACCTTTCATCTAAGTTATGTTGTCATTTAGCAAATTTCACTGCCTGATTGTGGTAACTTTTGTTGCTTGTACATAATGAAAGTAAAGCAAAAGGATAGTATAAATCAGATCTGCTACTTAAAAGGCTCTAGTGCTGTTCGTGGAAGTAAAAATAAACTTGTTGTAGCTCCCCCTCGCCGCCC